GTTGCTGGGATGCATATAGCGGGGAGAAGTGGAGTCCTGTAGCTCAGTGGTTAGAGCACTCGCTTTGCAAGTGAGAGACCTGAGTTCAATTCCAGGCAGAGGGCGAAACCTTGGGCAAGTTTCCTTACTCCACACAGAGCCTAATAATAATCCCTCCAAAACCAAAAACAATAATAAATTGGTCATTTTCAATCTACGACTGTTTGTGGGACATTGCTGTGCGCAATTGGCTGCCGCGTTCGCCCACAAATATACAGTCAATTCACTTTACAGTGTGTTCTGTGAAGCGCTTTGGGACGTCCTCCCGACGTGAAAAGCGCTATATCAAATGCAAGGATTATTATTATTATTATGTGGCGTCTTTCACGTCAAGAGGACGCCTCAAAAGTGCTTCACTGAGTTTACTGTAAAGTGTAGTGACTGCGAATGCCAGAGTTGTGCTAAAATGTGCATAATTTCTAACGCTTTTTTTTGTTGCTTTGTGTGGCGCATATTTTACAGCATCGATTAGTTGATTCACTAAAACCGTAGCTTACATTAAAATTGCACAACATATTTCGCCCAATCTATGTTGCTGTTGGAGGAGGGGGAGGGGAGGGGGTAAAGGGGGGGTGGGGGCTGCGCCAAGAACTGTCATTGAAGGAATTTCCCATCAATTTTGTCTCCCAAACGCGCTGCGTGAGTTGCACTTAGTCTTAAATTTAGAACTGCCCTGAACGTTTTTTTCTGAGAGAGAGAAAAAAGTCATCTTCTAAAATAAACGAAACGTGAAGTACCTCAAAAGCACTACTTTAGGGGGGGGAAAAAAAATGCATTGCACTTTGTTATGCACAGGAGGTCAGTAAATGCAACAGCTACAAATACCAGACTGCGTAATGTGATTAATACCTCGTTTTAGTTCACTCCCTGTTATTATTGGTGAAGAATTGTGCTCATACGTTGAATATTTGCATACGGATTACAATGTAAAACAACCTGAGAGCATTTGCTACAAAAATGGTTGCTTATGCTCGAAGGCATGATCATTCAATGACGAATGTCATCCCAAAGCGTTCCTGGAACAAAATAAAATATCATTGCGAGCCCAGGGGAATGTGGGGACAACTTAAAAACCGGTGCGATTTATATTTATATTTATATTTATATTTTTATTTGTATTTATATTTATATTTATATTTATATTTATATTTATATTTATATTTATATTTATATTTCTATTTATATCGCAATCATTTCCGATTGCAAAAGGCACGTTGCAACACGACTTATTCCGAATATCACAGGCATTAATATCGACATTAACATCCACTCGCCCCTGAAACAGCAACAACGGCAAAACAAAACAGACATCCATCCAGTGGGCAAAAAAAAACCATTGCTCCAGCATTGGAGAACAAAACAGAGAGCGGAAAACAACGAGCAGCACTGAATGTAACTGAATGTTTAATCCAACCACAGAAACATGGAATATTTATGGATTTGCTGCTTTCACCCCCTCGGCGTTGCAATGCACTGCACTTGTCAGAAAACACACCAAACACTCACACACTCTCTCTCCCTCACACACACACACAGTAAACGAGAGAGGGATCTGCTTGACTGAACTGCATGAAAGCCTGAAGGGGAACCAGGGTCCCATCGTGCAGCCACGTCCAAATCTTGTCAATGCCATCACTCTGCCCTTGCTATTTTTTTTCGAGCCTCTACTAACCCTTATCAAACGCATCCCCACGTATTGGATTGCGGTTACACGAACAGTCAATTTCAAAGTAGGCCTTCCCACCATTTCTCTCTCTCTCTCTCTCTCCCTCTTTCTCTCTCCTTTCTTCTCCCCTTCCCTCTCTCGTACTGCTCCACACTTGCCTCGCTGGTGTTAACAGTTCTTTCCCGAAAACGACACGCTTTTGGTTTATTGCTGCCACTCTCTCTCTCTCTGTCTCTTTGCTGATAGCATCGCTTCCGATTTGCAAGGCTCAAAGTCATCAGCTGTGAGCTCTGGACCCGTTTAAAACGACAGCGAAATTCCCAAAGCAAAAAAAAAGGGAGGGTGGGGGTGGGGGGTGGAGGTAGGTAGAGAAAGAGAGAGAGAGAGAAAAAAAGAGAGAGAGAGAGAGACAGACACACACACACACAGCGTCTTGTTAAAACAATCTGACTTTTTTTTAAAAAAAAGAAAAGAAAAAGCCCACAGGCATTTATTTAAGAAAAAGGCGACGTGTCGTGTAACTCAAGTCCCAACCGTATTTTCTAATCGAAACGTTCTTGATTTTTCCTTTCTCTCTCTCTCTCTCTCTCTCTCTCTCTCTCTCTCTCTCTCTCTCTATTTTTCTTTCTTTCTTTCTTTCCCCCCCCCCAAAAAAAAAATTAAAGGGAGTTAAGCGATAATGTTCCACTCGACCTTGTGTCAAAACACTTACACTCCACCGGAAACTTTTTTTTGCTTCAGTCTCAACTTAAATCAGTTTACAACATGCAACCAGATACACTACTACTAATAATTATTATATTATTATTATTATTATTATCATCGACTGGATGCAAAAGACTGTTGGGTCTGTCGAGTCCACCCACCCCGAGAGCTCAAGCCTCAAACGACGTGAGCTTTTTAAGCTTCGAGCAACAACCAACCAGTCGCTGCTCACGAAGGTAACTTTCTCGCGTGTCCCATTTCCCTTCAGGGCTCGGTTTGCCCCGACGCAGATATAAATAAACGTCTCATTAGCTCCCGCTCGACCGTCCTTCGGATTTTTTTTTTAAACAACAGCACTCGAAGAGATTGGGAGAAAGAGGGAGAGAGAGAGAGAGGGAGAGAGAGAGAGAGAAAGAGAGAGAAAGTGAGAGAAAGAGAGAGAAAAATAAAGCCCACCCGTTGCAAAATGCACACAGCCTGGGCCAATAATTTATTCTCTCTCTCTCTCTCTCTCTCTCTCTCTCTGTGTCCCTCTCTTTTTCTTAAACAAAGTGCATCTTTTCTTTGTCGACACATCTCTGCGAAGATCTCTGCAGAGTTACACATCGAATGTGTGTCGGGAGCCGCAGGACAATCACATATATTCGTTTTACTTTCAGTTCTGCCAACGCTCTGATTATCTGAACATAGAAATGTATAGATTTAGATATAGATAAGATATATATATATATGTGTGTATACAAATGTATATATATATATTAGAAACTCAACGATACTCTGCGTGGTTAGTTGTGCGAAAAGGTAAAGGGCAAAATAGCTGAAGAATGATTTCGAACCAGACTAACTACCCAACACTATAACCTAGTGACTATAACCTAGTGACACATCGGTGGAGTCCTTGGTTTCTGGAACAAAGTGAGACTGGGAATATATTAGTTCTGCTCTAACCTCTCCTCCACGAACCGTCTCTCTCACCTGAACAAGGACAAGTTCGGTCCACAGCGACTGGTTAAAGTAACGTTATATTTAACCCCCCCACCACCCACCCACCCACCCACCCACCCCACCCCCACCCCAAGCGATTTTCACCAGGTGTCGACTTATAATGCGACACCCCGACGTGAAATATTTCTTACATTAAAAAAAACACAGGGTAAAACTTTTTTTGCACTTGATCAAACACCGCCAAGTATACAACACTGTCAGCAATAATCAGTTTCACTAACTTTATAATAATGCAATAAAATGGGGGGGTGGGGGGGGGGGGTGGTGGGGATGGTGGGTGGGGGGGTGGGGGGGCGCTTGGGGGGGAAAGAAAGCAAAACAAAGAGTTTCAGACTGTAGCTTGTGTTTAATTTTTTTTATTATAAAATAAGCGGTTTTCTTTCCTTCCTTCCTCCCCCCCAACCCCCCTCCCCCCCACCCCAAAAAAAAAAAAAATTGTATTCAGGTAATATAAACAGTAATAAAACAGTTCATGTGTGGGATGCGGCGAATCCTTTTTTTTGTAATATAAACTTGAGATTATTTCTAACCATTGGAGAAATAGGGTTATTATATATATTTTCAGATTCCAACTCCCCCCCCACCCCCCACACCCCCACTCCCTCCCTCCCTTTCCCCTTTCCCCCCCTGTTGTGTCCAGTATAACTGCGATTAAACGTTTCACCAGTTCTACTACAGGAAAGCCAGCTTTCTGTACAATTGTCATCTACATGTAAAGTCATCTGCCTACAGCGTGTTGCATTTGTTTGGTTTCTGAATTAAAAAAAAAACGGGGGAAGCATATTTTATCCAAAAAAAAACACATTTAAAAAAAACCTTTCAAGCGCTTCCTCCTTACCTGACCTGGATATATATAGAGAGGCGATGACATTTTTTTTTAGAAAAAAAAAAGAGCCCCGAGCAAACCCCCCCCCCCCCCCACCCACCACCCCCCCCAAAAAAATGACTTGAGCATTTGCAATTTTATAGTGTCGTGAGTGTGACCCCGAGCAAAATAAATTTCGGTCGGTCTGAAACAAAAAAAGCCACGTCCATCGTATATATATATATATATATATATAAAAAAGGAACAAAAAAAAACAAAATTAAGACTTTTTTTTTGCTACATGAACCTCTTACTTAAGCAATCGAATACAGTACCTTTTTGTTTTAAACTCCCCCCCAACCCCCACCCCCCCCAACCCCCCACCCCCCCCCACCCCATCCGCCCAAAAAAAGCTATATCCATCATTCCTTCCAAACGGTCGACAAAATATCCACTTGAGTGTTTTTTGTTCTTTTTTTTTTTTGGTTTATGTACATCATCGGGGGTAATGGTCAAGTAAAATATATAAAAAGATCATCTTGAGAGTGAGTGAGTCTCTTTTGAGTTGAGTTCTGATTCGGAGAAGAGAGAAGAGCCAGAGAGGGGAGAGAGAAGAGAGAGAAGAGAAGAGAGAAGAGAGAAGAGCCAGAGAGGGGAGAGAGAAGAGAGAGAAGAGAGAGAAGAGAGAGAAGAGAAGAGAGAGAGAAGAGAGAGAGAAGAGAGAAGAGAGAGAGAGAAGAGAGAGAAAGAGAAAGAAAGAGAGAGAAGAAGAAGAAAAATAATAATAATAAATGTCTTTCTCTTTAAGAGCCAAGGTCGACTAAATTGGACGACATGGGGTTCAGCATGGAGTCCTGTAACGCGTGGTGGTGCACTACATCTGCGGTGGGGACGGCGACGGCGCTAGGGCCCGGCGGGACAGCCAGGGTGTGCAGGGGCTGGAGGCTGGGGTTGGAGCTCTGGCCCAGAGACCCCCCCACCCCCAGGAGCAGCGCCGGGCTGCCCGACGTGTGGTCCGGCGTCTGGCACGGAGTCTTTTCCTCGTCCGAGCTCGGCAACATGTTTTTGTTCCCGTTCATGGAAGGATGCATTGGGTTGCGACTGCCGGCTGTGACATTGGAATTTGAGTTCTCGTTGTTTTCCCTGCACGGGTGAGACAGACACACAGACACAGACACACAGACACACAGACACACAGACACAGACACACAGACACACAGACACACACGCAACATAACGCACGAACATAACGCACAACACGCAACACACACACACAAAAAGAAACAGTGGGTGTTTTTTCTCTCTCTCTCTCTCCCAAATATTCTGAACGTTGCAAAAGTGGTTAAAAATCAGAACGCTTTACTCCATCATATTACTGTTACTACTACTACTACTACTACTACTGCCGCATAATATTAATAATAATACTGATAAGAAGAAGAATCATCATCATCATCATCCGAGTCAAATGCATCGGCAATAATCACGACATCACATCGAATGAAACACCCAGCACTTTATTTTTTTTTAAAAAAAAAACATTTTTCTTTAAAACCTCAACAAACAAAAGGGGAAATAAAAAAATCTTCCAAGGGTTTGACTTGGCCTGAACTTTTCCTCTTGTTTCCTTAAGGATAAAGGGCCGCGTCCGGGAGACGGGCAAACCGACTGCAGAGGGTTTTAACACCGCTTTCGGTTCACATGGTAGTTTTTTTTTTGTTGTTGTTGTGTGTGTGGCTTCGTTTGGACAAAACAAAAAGAGAGAGAAAGGAGAGGGAGAGAGTTTGGGAAATATAAATCTTTCTCTCTCTCTCTCTTTCTTTCTTTCTCCCCAATTAGAAGTATGTGTGTTTTGTGTGTGTGTGTTTTCTTTTAAATTCTTTCAAATGCCACAGTCTGTAGAGGAGGAGGAGGTGGTCGATTGCGAACGAAAGGGGTGACTTTTTTTTTGCTTTTTTATTAGGAAAAAAAACTTAAGGCAATTATTATTATTATTATTATTCGGGGGATTGGGTGGGGGGGACGGGGGACGGTTGAGAAAATGGTTCGACAACTGTATGAGGGCTGCAGTTGGAAAGGTGCAACGCGCCTCACGAATTGGACTCCCAAAGAAACCCTTCGCTGAACGGTTGTGAGTTGCGGGTCGGTACCAGCGGTGTGTGTGTGTGTGTGTGTGTGTGTGTATCACTTGCCCCGAATATAACGTCCGGACGGGACAAACTGCTGTGATGTTGTTGTTACTCTGGTACTCGAGTATTATCATGAAATTAACTCGAGGCGAATCGAATATCGTTTGGGACACACAAAACAAAACCCCTCGTCGGTTGCGTTTTCTTCTCGTCCTTTCTCGCTTTGTGATTTAGTGACATTTATTTAGTGACATCTCTCTCTCTCTCTCTCTATGTATATATATATATATATATATATAAATATAAGAGCAGTTGTGTTGCAGGGGGATTGGAGTGTGTGTGTGTGGGGGTGGGGGGGTGGGGGTGGGTGGGTGGTGGGGGGTGTTATTTTATAATGCCAGGGCAATCCAAACCATATCACACACCGGGGTGGGTGGGAGGGGGGGGTTAATTGGATCGATGGTTCTCTCGGAAAGCCAGAACAGAACCAAATGAAAAAAGAAAACCCAAATCCAAATCAACTCAAGGAAAATCCAACATTTGCCAACAGGGGAGAGATTTGCTTTGCAAACGAGTAACACACACACACGCGTATATATGTATAATACATCAAAATAATAAAAATTCTGCTGCTGCGATTTACAGTCTTTTCTTTGCACTGCCCCACTCTACCACCACCACCCCCCAAAAAAACCCCACCACCACCACCACTACTACCACCACCACCAACAACAACAACGCATGAAATAACCCCCTCCCCACCCACCCTCCCCCTCCAAAAATAAAAGAAGCGGTTGGTCACTTACTCGTACCTCTCTTTGGCCTCGGCGGCTCGATCCCTCTGCCTCCTGTTCTTGAACCAGTTGCTGACCTGCGTGGTGGTCAGCCCGGTGGCCTCGGCCAGTTCCCTCTTCTCCCGGGGCGAGGGGTACGGGTTGTGCGCGTACCATTCCCGCAGGATGCTGCGCGACTTCTCCTTGAAGCAGTAGCTGGTCTCCTCGCCGTCCCAGATGGACCGAGGCAACGGGAACTTCCTCCGGACCCGGTACTTGCCCACGGCCCCCAGCGGTCGCCCCCGCAGCTTCTCGGCCTCGATGTAGTGCGCCTTGAGCCACAGCTGCTGCAGCTTCGGGTGGTTGTGCGCCGAGAACTGGTGGCTCTCCAGGATCTTGTAGAGCTCTCGGAAGTTGCCCCGGTGGAAGGCCACCACGGCCTTGGCTTTGAGGACGCTCTCGTTCTTGTGCAGATGCTCGCAGGCAGGTAGTGACCACAGGAAGCGCCCCAGCCTCTCGATGTTCCCCCCTTGCTGGAGCACTTCGCACACGCACGCCACTTGCTCCTGAGTGAAGCCAAACGTCGGAAGCATCGACATGATCTCTCAACCTCCACCCCCCCCACCCCTTCCCTTCCCCCCCCCCCCCACCCCCCCCACCCACCACCACCACCCACCACCCACCCACCACCACCACCACCTCTCCGCCTTGAGAATGCTCTACAGCCACATCCACCGCAGCCTCAGACGCAGCAGAAACTGGGGAGGGGGCTGAAGGCGCATATATGGACTGGGCGTCCAATGTAACACAAAAAGAAGGAAACCTTTCACACCAGCCCCGACATCACTGCGCATCAAGACGTCCAGAGTGCTCTCGCTTTGGGGGGTTTCTTTTTTTTCCAATAATATTATTCCAAGTTGGCACGAATAGTCATTGTGTAGCATACGATTGGTCGGAGATCTGACCTACGGATGGTGAGGATAAGACAATAGTTAAGTCAAATTATTTGCTATGGAGACGCTGTCAATCAGAGTAACCCGATCGCCTTTGAAGGTGTCTCTCTCCCTCCCTCCCTCCCTCCCTGCGCTAACAGATTGCACTCCCCCACAACCGCACTCCCCCAACCCACCTTGTAAGACTGGGCTCCTTTATGCGGCTCCCAGTCTGGCAATCAACCCCATGCGAGAACAAGTCCTGCTTTAATACTGTTACAGCCTCCTCTCAACCCCCCCCCCCCGCCCCCCTCCCTCCCCGACCCCACTAAATCCCCCCTCCCCATCACCCCCCCTCCCCCCCTCCCCTCCTCCTACTCCTTCTTCTTCTTGCAGACTGGCTCTATATGTGTTTGTTGCAGCAGTCGGTATGACAAGGACTGTGGGGAGGTGGGGGGGGGGGGGGTGAAAAGCCTCTTCGCTGATTGACACCGTGCAAAGCAAACACAAAAAAAACGAGAGAGAGAGGGAGAGAGAAAGTGGGAGTGAGAGGGAGAAGGAGAGAGAGAGAGGGAAGGAGAGAGAGAGAGAGAGGGAGTGTTTTGCTTTGCCTTCTTACCCAGCAACATTCACAGGCAACTCGAAGGTGGCGCCAGTGATCGGGAAATAAGTGAGTGCTTGGTTTGGTGGGGGGGTGGGGGGTGGTGGGGAGGGGGAGGTGGGGGTAGTGGTAGTGGTGGGGGGGGGGAGACTGTGAAACCTAATGGCTTCTGGTACCTGTAGTTACATCTCCAATCCCAGGCCACACACCCGTCGCACGGGTTAAAACACATCTCCCCAAATCCTGTGCTGACAATTGGAACAAGATGTTGTGTGTTTTTTTCTCTCTCTCTCTCTCTCTTCCTCTCTCTCTCTCTCTGTTGGACGAGTTTGCGGAGAGGCAAGCTGGTGAGAAAAGCGAGCTGAGAGAGAGAGAGAGAGAGAGAGAAAGAGAAAGAGAGAGAGAGAGAGAAAGTCCATCATCACCCAAACAGCGACACTTCATTTATTCCAAGTCGATCAGTGAGATTATTATTGAAATGCAATTGATATCATTTGGCGTTTTTTTTTTTGGCGCACGGTGGGGGTTGGATTATATGAGAAAGAGGGGTATTTGAAGCAGTAATAATACTACTACTAATCCTTGCATTTGATATACGTCTCAAACCGCTTCAAAGAATTAGACTGTGAAGTGAATTTGACGGTCTACATTTTGTGGGCAAAAAAAAAGTACTGTTCGCACGTTTGGCGATCAGTGATTTCTAAATAAATCTGTTGTGGTGGCAAAGAGGACAGAGTAATATAATATAGGTAGATAATATTCCAGCAGTAGCAAACAGTGCAAATGCACAAGGATGCACTGGCTTGTTTTGTTTTAGAGCATCTTCCTAACCCCGTGGACCAGACCTCAGTTGCTGTGTTATTATATTATGTATAGTGTGTGTGTGCATATATATATGTGTATATATAACACATTTGAGTGATAACGTCGTTTGCGCTCGTTTTCTAATGAATGCAAATCGTCGGAGTTTACTCTCTTGTGTAAACGTAAAGAGAGAGAGAGAGAGAGAGAGAGGGGGGGGGGGGGGGGGGGGGGGGGTGGAGTGGAGGGGGGGGGGAGGAAAAATAGAGTAGGGTACATCTGGCCTAGCTGAAACTTCTCTCATTCTAACTTCCTTTAAAGATTCCTTTAAAGCTCATGGTCCAGGACTGACATTGCAGCCCAGTGACATCGTCTCCAGTCAGTCTGCAGGTGGCTGTCAAGGACCCCCCCTCCCCCAAACCCCCCCACCCACCCCCAACCCCCCTTGATACTGTTGGAATAGAGGGCATTTCTCCAGGACGTCGTTGGTAAAAAAAAACCTTCCCGTTAAATTGACCGCTCCGACTCTTGGTTGTTTGTGAGGCACTGTTTGTACGCAAAAGGTCTGTGTACCCACAGACACACACAGCCGCCACCCTTAAAAGTGTGTACCATCGAGTGCTTTGAGAAGTTTGCACTTAACGAGGCGCTGCACACAACCCAAAGGGTGTCACTAAACATCGTTACGCAGAGTATTCCCAGCGCTCCATAACGCCGGGGAGATGAGAAGAGCAACAACAATAATAATAATAATAATAATAAATAATCCTTACATTTGATACAGCGCTTTATCCCGTTGTCGAGGCGTCTCAAGGCGCTTCGCGAGTTTTTTTTCCCCACAAGTGCAAGCCACGTCTCTCCGCTGAGTCCCGAACAAGTGTACCTTAAAATGTACCCTATCGATCGATCAAAACACGGGGCGAGTTATCCTCCCAGTGACTCGCAGTGAGTGCAGACATCCAGCCCTGCGACCACACCCCCCCCCCCTCCCTTCCCCAACCCAACCCACCCCCATCACCCCCACCCTCTGTCTTGTCCGCCCTAACAAAACAAATCGTTACACAACACCCCTTTAAATACTTCTGCCGAATCACCATTAAAAAAAAAGAGACACTCCATAAATAGAGAGCGCTCCTGTTAACAACTGCTGGACCACAGGTCAGTCTGTCTCGGAGTCACATCCGAGCTGGGGGGGGGGTGTGGGGGAGGGGGGGGAGGTGGGAATTGAATTGATCATCCCTTCTCCATAAACGTTTTAACATTTCGGGTCATGAGCCGTATTTATTGAAAGTTGCTTTTCTGTGGCTTATCCTATCGCACCCGGTAAGACAGTCAGTCACACCCGAAGGAAAATAACACTTACACTGTGTGTGTGTGTGTGTGTGTGTGTGTTTTTTCACACACACACACAGAACACAACCCCCGCGTGTGTTCGCTTTTTCGGGTTAAAGCACTCGCCGCGTCTTGGATTTGGGTGTAATTCTGCGTGAGACGGGGATTGCGGAATGAACGCGTTGCACTGTATCGTATTGTATTGTATTCGATTTTATTTTATTGGTAGAAAAAAAAACCCTCTTGGGATCGCTTCTCTCGCCCTCAAATTAGCAGCCACATCCCCGTGCGTCTGTCCTCACCCCAAACGGGAGTACTGCACTATTCTCAAGTGGTTATTTTTTTTTGGGACCCGAATAATATTTTTCGGAACATCCCTTTCCAGAGTGGGACACTATATATATATATATATATACACATCACCTGTGTTTTGCTTATGGCCACATCTTGTAATGCGGTGACAGTCGTTCTCGTCGTCCAAACACGTTGCATTTTTCAAACGGTTATATATTTTTTTTTCTTTACAAATTGTGGGCCACAATTTTTGACACGAGGCAAAAAAAATAAAATAAAAGCGTCTCCAGTCTGCGGCTCAGGCCGTGTGTGGCTCGGCTCGGCTCAGCTCAGCTCGGCTCGGCTCACCCCTATTGAGCAGAGGAAGTTCTGCATTCATTCCATTACAGGTACTCAGTTTCCATTGAACCTGAGGCTACAATTCACCGATTCACCTCAGACACTCCCTTTTCACGGCAAGCTCAGTCGTAAAACATTTGATGCATGTGTGTGTGTGTGTGTGTATGTGTATATATATACATATATATATACAAAGAAGCGAGCAATTTTCATCCAGACAGTGTAGTTTTCAGCGTACTGTGTGTGTCTGTGTTTGTATGTATGTACAGATCTATTTTATAACATTGTCTTGGTATTTTTCTCTTTAATCCGGAAGAGAGAGAGAGAGAGAATAACAATAAAGCTCTGTCACTTACTGGCAATTAGGTTTAGCTATCGGCGGTTTCGATCTTAAAACAACACGAAAAGGCATATTCACCTTAATTCACTCCATACGATGGTTTTGACCATGGTGACATTTTACCAATACAATTGGATTGGGGGAGTTGGGGGGGGGGGGGGGGGGGAGAGGGGAAGGTGGGGGGGGGGGGGGGTTGGGGAGAGTACTGATAAAACATTGAGATTTCGTATGGAGATGAAAGAGTAAAATGATCAATTGTTGGGAACCGGGAAACGGAGTCCAGAGAGGAAAATAAAATCTCAGTTGTCCTCAGCTCGAGAGGCAGTCGAGTTCCACAACACGAGCAATGTATTGCTCTTCAAGGGATCCAATTAGGGGTTTAAGTTGTAACCGTAAAGAAAGTGCGTATGGAACGTCTCAACGGCGATTTCTCCCCCCCTTCCCCCCCCCCACACACCCCCAACAACCCCCCCTCCCCACACACACACCCAACACCCCCCACACCCCCAACAACCATCCCAAAGCTGATTTAAAAAAGTTAATCCTTGTATTATAGCGGCGAGAAGGCGGGTGGCTGTTTGTGTCGGTGTGTGTGTGTGTGTATATGTGTCTCTCTGTGTGTATGTGTGTGTATATGTATGTGTGTATGTGTGTGTGTCTCTCTGTGTGTGTGTGTGTGTGTGTGTGTCTCTGTGTGTGTGTATGTGTGTGTATTTGTGTCTCTCTGTGTGTGTGTGTGTGTGTCTCTCTCTGTGTATGTGTGTGTATTTGTATCTCTCTGTGTGTATGTCTGTGTGTATTTGTGTCTCTCTGTGTGTGTATGTGTGTGTCTCTATGTGTGTATGTTTTGTGTGTGGGAATAAACTGCAATTGCTGTTAACGTTACCAGAAGGAATAGTTGGTCAGGAAGGGGCCAGACCGAGTGAGCGAGCGAGCGAGTGAGTGAGAGTGACAGACCCCCAATGAACAGTGTAGTTGGTACCA